CAAACATCCTTAGCTGACATTTCACTATCTTCAAATGCTCTGAATGGAACTTGGGGCTTGAATGAAGGTAGATATGTTAAAACTAAAGCACTCTGTACAGTGTATTTCTGCATAAGACATCTTTGGCCTTTATCATTTCTCTATCCACAAACAGCTGCTTGCTTATATTGCATCAATCTAGAATCAGTTTATTAATCTAGTTTCCATTGCAAAATATTTTAAATGTGAGGGTGTAGCCCAGTAGAACAGACCATGCAAAGCCCTGGGTTCAATCCCCAGCACCAAAAAATAAAATAAAATGGGAAAAATAAGTAGATGATTACTTGGGTATGTTTGAGATTAACATTGCTGCTCTTTTGGACATCAATTTCAAAAACTTTTCTTACAAATGCAAGCCAAAATTATGTATATATAACCAATATAGCATGTATACATAAAGTATTCCATTAATGATTTAAAATCCTAGTTGTCCATATAACAAAATGAGTAAATGCCTACCTAATGAAAATTTTTACAAGACAAACAACTGTCTTGCTTATTTGAAGTATATTTCATCGTTTATAGTTTGTTGGCAGCAAAAAATAATCATTTCTTAGTTCCTTATTGTGGAGTTGAAACATTTCTACAAATTGTATATTTAAGGATATTCATAGACACAGCTATAACAGTCAATAAGGTATAGTATTTCCACAAAAGGAAATATAGGGCTGGGGTTGTGGCTAAGTGGTAAAGTGCTCCCCTAGCACGCATGAGGCCCTGGGTTCGCTCCTCAGCACCACATAAAAATAAATAAACAAAGTAAAGGTATTGTGTATAACTAAAAAATAAACATTTTTTTTTAATTTTAAAAGGAAATATAGAGCCTTTCCCATCACATGAAACCATAGAAAAATTTCAGCATTTTCATTTGCTCTGTGTAATGGGGGGGGATGGGGGGGCTTTTTTTTTTTTAACAAAGGGGCTTGTTTCTACAAAGCTGAATTATGTAGCTACATTTGATAACACATGGCATGGCCACCTTTATTTCACAATGTGTCAAACTATAAAGCATACTATAACATAGCAGACCCTAAGAATTAAAGTTCTTAAATCAATGGGACAAAAAGGAAGAGAGAGATCTATACTCATGCTTTAGTTGGTTAACACAGTATTCCATTCAAAACATTATGGGAAGCCAGGCATGGTGGCACGTACCTACAATTCCAGACAAGAGGATCACAAATTCAAGGCCAGCCTCAGCAACTTAGCAAAAGACTCTGTCTCAAAATAAAAAGACTAGGGATATAATTCAGTGGTAAAATTGCCTCTGGGTTATATCCTAATATCCAAAAAAAACTACATGAAAGAGCTAGGATGTAGCTCAGTGGTAGAGTGCTTGCCTGGTGTGCACAAGGCCCTGGTGTTGATCCCCAGTACCCTCTCCCCCCCACCCCACCCCCCCCCACACACACACCCCTATATGGGAGTGTCAGGCACATTATTGCACACCTGTAATCCCAGCAATTCTGGAGGCTGAGGCAGGAGGATCACAAGCTCAAGCCCAGCCTTGGCAATTTAGCAAGACCCTGTCTCAAAATAAAATAAAAAGGGCTGGGCATATAGCTCAAAAATAGTGCCCCACTGGGTTCAATCCCCACTACTACCAAAAAAAAAAAAAAAAAAAAAAAATGGAGTGAGCTGAACAGAAAAACATATTTGACTCCTTTTAAAAAATTCTGCTAGTCCCTTAGAGTACCACCAATCTCTTAAATTTTTATTTTACTTATAAATACAGATACATTCTATATCAAATAGTATAGTATATTTACCATGCCCTCATGAATTAAAGTGTAACACAAACTCAACAATACCCTACTACAGTCCTCCACAAATGGCTTATAAAATATCCCACCTAAGAGCAAATATGGTTTCTCCTGTATTGAGGACTGAAAACAGGGGCACTTTACCACTTAGCTATACCCCAATCCTTTTTATTTTGAGACAAAGTCTAGGCTAAGTTGCTGAGGCTGGCCTCAAACTTGTGATGCTCCTGCCACAGCTTTCCAATTCACTGGGGTTACAGGTATGTGTCACCATTCAAGGCTGAATAAAGTACCTTTAAATACAGTTATATTCACTTGACAATTATGCCATTCCAAACTAAAGGTACAAAGACTAAAAATAAGCCAAGTGCAGTGGGGCAAACCTGTAATCCCAATGACTTGGGAAGCTGAGGCAGGATGATCACAAGTTCAAGACTATTCTCAGCAACTTAGCAAGGCCCTAAGCAACTTAATGAAACCCTGCCTCAGTATAAAAAATAAAAAGGGCTGGGGACATAGCTCAGTGAGAAAGCACATCTGCCTTCAATCCCCAGTACCAAAAAAAAAAAGAGTAAGATTTAACCTCTAACTTCAAAGAATTCACAAGGTGGGAGAAGCCAGAAACATGTGAAAAATCAAACTCCTTTGAGACCACAGAGAACAATTTACAGAGGTAGTAATAGCATTTGCCATGTGAAAAAGTGGGAGGAAGGGTATTAACAGGCAGAGGGAACAGCAAACAAAGACGTACACGTACAACACACAACTTGATTAGTAGATGTCTTAAAGAGCCAAAGTAGGAGGAATAAAAAAGAAGGCTGCATGGGCATGAAACATGCCCACGTAACTTAGTAAGGAAACCTTGCAGCTAGGTTGCTGAGCATCATGTATGTTATGACAAGGTGATGGGCCTTTATCCAGAAGTACACAGAGAGCTAATATATAATAAAATAACTGATGGCTAACTGATGACAATATGAAAGACATTAAAAAGGAGAGGTTGGGGGATGGAAGATATAAGGACACTGCTGGTAATTAGAATATTATTGCAATAATGTGGCCAAAATATCATGGATAAGCAATAATACAAACAACTAAACAGCAGCAGCAAGAGTGAAAATCTACCTCAACTTAGCTTAACATATACCACATCTACATGCAGTCATTTGATCTGTACCACCCTTCTGAATAAAGGCCACAACTGCCCCATTCTACAAATGGGGCAACTTAAGGGTAGAAAAATGAAGACATTTTAGAAGTCAGAACACCTTAGTAGGTGACAGGGCCTAGAAACAAACCCAGAGCTGTCTGCCATGTCCATATTCTTGACTATAAGCTCCTGCATCAAGGTACAGGCAATAGGAGAAAAGAGTAATTAGGAAGTTTTTAGAAGAGAAAATCAACAGGACTTAATGGCCATGACCACCCACACCCAACACAGGATCTTCACTTATACACTAAAGTTGCCTACCTGAAATGCTTCTGAAAATTGATTATTTCCTTCATCTAGAGATTTCAATTAAAGTATCTTAACAAATGTTTAAGACCATGATAAAACTTTAGGTATCTTTTTTTTTTTTTTGGCGGGGGGGGGTTTACTGGGGATTGAACTGAGGGGCACTCAACCATTTTTTGGCACATCCCCAGCCCTTTTATGTATTTTATTTAGAGATAGGGCCTCACTGTTGCTGAGGCTGACTATGAACTCACGATCTTAACCCTCCTGCCTCAGCCTCCTGAGCCACTAGGATTATAGGCATGGGCCACTGCACCCAGCTAGCTTCAGATATCTTACACAGGAATTTTTAAATTTAAAAATTTCCTTGTGAGCAGGTGTGGTAGCACATACCTGTAATCCCAACTAGCTGGGAGGCTGAGGCAAGAAAATCACAAGTTTGAGGCCAGCCTGGGCAATTCAGAAATAACTGTCTCAAAAAAAAAAAAAAAAAAAAAAAAAAAAACAGCTCTAGGACTATACCTCAGTGGTAGAACGCCCCGGGTTCAATCCTCAGTACCACAAAATACAGTACTTTTCAGTTGGAAAAACAACAATATTGGTGAATCCAAGAGAGATAATAGATTTATATGCCTTAGTCAGAAACCCTAAAAGAACAGGTATATAGCTGAAATGTTCATAAACAGTACATAAGTATGGAAAAGGAAAAAATGAAACACCTTAAACTAAAAATCTTTGGGCTATTAGCAATTCAAAACAAATATACTTTATCATAATATTATCTAGTTAGTATTTTTTTATGAAACCAACATAAAGTTAGGCAATTGATGAGGCTTATAGATGCAACTGCAATTTGATAATTATATTACTAAAGTGAAATAAGAACTGCAACCACCATTTCAATATGCAAATCATCTTCTATCCCTTACAAAAGTATCTGTCAAACTGTCAGTTTTTACTACAGGATTGTTAAAAAAAGGAGAGGGTTAGTGCGTTTCTTTCAAAAAGTCATGCTTCACTCTGTATGGAAAGATACTAATTTTCACAATGTTAGTTAAGCTGTCTTATTTATTAAATTAAAAGTTATCTTGATTATAAGTATAAGTAACTTTAATTATAAAATAAAATGAAAACATAGTTCTCACTAATTTTAACATTCAAAGACAGTTATATGTGTCATGTTTAACAAACAGTGCTAGCATCTAATCACCTGGGGTTGAGTGGTTCACCCCAGATATTAACCATTAACCATAGGAGTTGATTTAAAAATCTGTGTAAAATTATACAGTGAATAATTGTTACAATTCAGTGGAAAGACATAAGTAAGAATTTTTACTTCAATAATTATAATTTGACTGACAGACTTTTAAGGCCCTTGTTTTTTTCATAATAGTATGTGTACATTATAGGTTCCTACACTACAGGGAAAAAGTTTGTATTGTGTTAGTTCCAGTTATAATTTCCAGCTGAGTCAAAGTTCTAACAGCCTTAAAACAGGAAATCCAAAAGGAAATTCCATCAGTAGATCCAAACAGGGTTGGCAACTCAAAGGTTCTTTGAAAAAGAGATATGGAAGTTCTCAAAACTAGGAGCTGGGGTTGTAGCCCAGTTGTAGAGCACTTGCCTAGCTCGTGTGAGGCACAGGGTTCGATCCTCAGCACCATATAAAATAAAGGTATTAAGCCCATCTACAACTAAAAATATATTTTTTAAAGTTCTCAAACTATTTACTACAACCTTACCTCATATCTTCAAGCAAATCACATTCTGCTTGATGTTTGGCTTGAAGTTTTGTCATCTGCTCAACTTGAATGTTTTTCAGTTCTTGTGTTACTTTCACCTAAAATACACCATATATTTATTAAGGCCATACTACAACTTGAACAAAAAAAAATTAGGAAAAACTCTAAAATTTGTCAGGATATATACACCTCTTACTTTTCTCTCCCTAAAGAACATAAACCCACTACTTGCCATATAGTTTCATTATTAAACACATTTATTTAATAAAAAGGTAGTCAAATGACCTGTAACAGGCTGAATGAAAATACACTGGTATAAAAATTATAAAAAGATGAAAAATAAACTGCCATTCTATTTCATGCACAAGCTCAGTACATACCTAGGTCCTCTAACAGTTTTAAAAGAGCCAGTCTTCTATTTCTTCCAAAAAAGATTCAGACATTAACCACCAGGAGAAGTGAGCAGAGTGTAGATGGGAGAGGAGAGCATAAGAGTACCTAATACCTAATGACCGAAATTTATACAATCATGAAATAATATGCATGAATCAAACTACATAAATTATTCCATAATGGCTGCAAGAAAGCACACTGTCTCGGGATGATGCCCTCCACTCGCTGACAGCGTGTCAAATCACAATCTCACAAAGGAGAAAGCAAAAGTGACCTTCCAACATATGCAGTGCTTTTAAACTAACACAGCAAGCCAGGCCGGGTGAAGGCTCCACTTTAAACAGCGAGAACCGCAAATGCCAGCGGGCCAGAGCCTCCAAGCCTGCCAGGCCGGACCTCAGGGTTCGAGGTTACAATCGGGGAATCCTGGCCGCTGGAGCGAGGCTACCCAGAGGAGTGGGAGTACATGTGCAAAAGAAAAGGTCTCACTTAACTGATCCCGGATTAAGAAAGAGAAAGAAGACACGGATGAGTTAGGCATTCAGCAAATGTTTGCCCACGAGAGGAGGATAGAATGGCCTCCTCCACCCAGTGTCCACAGAAGACATTCAGTACCCATGTGCAGAATTTAAAAGACAAGGACACAGCCTCGGCCACTGGAAAAGCCAGAGAAGGGCGCAGCGGGAAGCTGCTGACAAGCCAAGAACACTCGTCACTCCCACCCTGACTATCCAAGGCCAGATCTAAGTGCACACGCCACGCACAGTGCACTGTCGAAGGGTTCGGTTCTTGCCTTCCTGGGGGCAATGCCACCGCCTCCTTACCCCCTGGCTGGGGGCGGGGAAAGAACCTCGTGGAAAGGGTGGGGGTAGAAAAACAGGATCCATCAATTCTTAATTTGCTTTTCCCTAGAATGGGAGGGCTATGACTATTCCAACTTCTTTTCGGCAGCCCCGTGGGAAAACCAGGCCAAACCTTAGGACTAGGCTTGAAACAAATCCCCCGCAAATCTGCAAACGGGCGGGGGTGGCGACAAGCGACTGGAGGGCTCAAACCTGGTGCAGACTAAACAATCACACACGCACAAGGCTCTGCAAATCTGCAGGGGCTCCCCCGCCTCCACTCAATGCAGCCCCGAGAATGCACTTTGCAGCGGGCAGCACTGCCATGCAGGCGCACACATACAAATGCACACCCGAAACTCCTGTAAAATGTCTGGGGGCATCTTCAGTGCAGTGAAGGAGACGAACCCCGGCAGTCCCTCCATAGGAAAGGCACCTCACACGCCCTCCCACAAACACCCGCCTGGAACCAGCGGCAACTCCGTGACAAGCCAGAGGCGAAAGCGGTCACGGCCCCTTGCGGGGAGGGGGAGGGGGCGCAGCGGTCGCCCCAGCCGCATTCCTAGTACGCATACCCTCCGGAACCCTAAAGCTCCACGGCTGCGCCCTTACCTTTCTCGGCGGTGGCTGCATGATGCTGAACGGACATCAATCCTCCCCCSACGGCGGCGTTAGCAAGAACGAGAGGAGTAGGGCTGGAGAGGAAGGGGTGGCCCAGAGACCAAGGGCACGAGTGTGTGTGTGTGTGTGTGTGTGTGTGTGTGTGGGGAGAGAGAGAGAGAGAGAGAGAGAGAGAGAGAGAGAGAGAGAGAGAGAGAAAGGAGAGCCCAAGGAGGAGGACTCGCCCCAGAAGCAGCAAGGCCAGCAGGCAGCAAGAGGACCCCGGCCAGAGCGAGTATGAAGAGAGGGAGGAGGAGCGCCGGGAAGGCCTGCGGCCCGGGCGGCCCGGGGGGTGTGTGAGGCAAGGAGGCGGAGACCACGAGGGGGCGGAGGCCAGGAGCAGGGGCGCTAGGGTCTCCCGACTAGTCCAGCCGCTGGTAGGGTGCTGCCGCGTCGCCCGCTCTCCCCGCCTGCCGCCTGCTCCCGTGCTCCAGGCGGACGCGGCGGCCCCCAACCCCACCCACTCCGGCAACCCGGCCCTCGCGGTGCCCAACGCCCCCGCCCGGCCCCGTGAGGAGGAAGGCGGCGCCGCGCTCCCTGCTAGCGCTCCACCACTCAGGCCGCGGGAATTTCCGGCCCCACCGCGCGGCGCAGCGCCCCGCTCCGGCGGAGGAGGGAACCGCTTAGTCCAGCACCATCAGGTTAGCTGGCCCCGCCAGGCTGCAGCGGGGGCGCGAGGCCGCGGCGCGGGGCTCCGTATCCTGAAGGGGGACGGGGGGAACTAACGGATTGGTCGGAGGATGGGAAAGGTAGAAACTCTAGAGGAGCGCGAAAATTCCCCTATTTCTTTCCGTGAGTGGCACGTTCCAAACGCCTCCAGCCCCCTCCCCCACACCGGGAGTCAGCCGGGGGCTTCCCGCGCGCTTTCCCGCCAGCTCGCCGCGGCGCGCGCCTCCAGCTGGGGGCGCGCACGTGGGCGGGAGAGGGCCCTGCGCCGACGCACGCGCACAGGCCGCCCCCGCCTCCTGCAGGCTTTAGCTGAGGGTTTGTGTCCGGGTAAAGGAATGGTGGGGGGCGACGCTCGTAGGGAGGTTTTTACAATGGGAAGGGGCCCGGTATGCCCATGGCAAAAGAGACCTATTTTTTTGCTTCCTCTCGGCTACTCACATCCCTCTTTACCTGCCAGCTAATTGTGCACAAGGGGTTGAGCATGGACAAATCCTTTTACAACTGGCTACAGGTGCCAGTCCGTTGCGATTTGGAGTGGGAAGTACAGAAGTAAGCGGTTTGCTCTGCAAAAGAGAAAACGCTGTCTACTACACGACAATCGGGACTCTAATGAAAGGGAGCAGAGCAGTCTAAAAGACATTGCTACCGTGTCACAATGTATCTGAAGAAAAGTGGAGACTCTCCGAAGGTCACAGCAGAAATAAAAATGAAGCACTGGGTTGGATCCTCAACACCACATAAAAGTAAAGATAGTGTCCATCTAAAACTAAAAAATGAATATTTAAAGAAAAAGAAAAAGATACAGGGGCTGAGAGGGTAGCTTGGTAGTAGAGCACTTGCCCTAATATGTTTGAGGCCTTAGGTTGATCTCCAAAAAGAAGGAAAGGGAGGGAAGGAAGAAGGAAARAGGTGGTGGGTGAGCAACATAGGGTAAAGTAGAAGAGGCAGTAGGGTACATAAAAGAAACCCGCGGCCCTTGTTTGGGAGTGAGGACCTCTGAGTGTCGTCAGTTCACTCTGCCTGCCCTTGACTGAGTGAACTTAGGGTGGCTCATCTACCAGCGAGGATGCTTATCTAGGAAGTGTCCTCCCACTCACCATCGTGCTCTGTCCAGACTATCTGCAGGCCCTGGTGTCAGCCTTCTTGGGTCCTGAAAAGAGTGGAAATGCCTCTTCCCCTTACTCTGAGCCACAGGGCTGAGTGGAGAATGAGCTGAATCACCCCCCACGGTTTTTTCAGAAGTTGGAGTTGCAGGCAATTGTTCTCAGAAGTGCAGTTCAGGCAAAAGAGGAAAGTGAGGCCTGCATAGACCAGGGTAACTTGCCAGGCCGCCACGTGGTCAGAAATTGGGAAGGTGGAACTTGACCTCAGGTGGTTTACACTGAATCTAGAGTTTTAAGCAGGAAAGTGATAGAATCAGAGCTGTGCTTCAATAAGATTTATCTAGAGCTATGTATAAACTAGGAGACACACCCTGCTATTTCTGGTTTCCTTGAGGCTATTCAAAAATCAGCCCTCCACCACAGTCCTCAATTAGATCAGGGAAGGCCAAGGGCAAGGGAACAGGTGGGTGGGGCTCCTGAGCCCATAGGACTATGGAGCAACAGCTACAGCCCTGACATGAGGTATAGAGGCTGGGATCCACTGGTTCAGTGTGAAGCCTTCAGGATAATCCATTCCCTTGTTTTAGCCTTTGTTTCCTCACTTATTAAATTGAGTTGTATCATACCATCCTCACAAGCATGTGTTAATTAGAGTTTCTCCTACACAGAACCTAACACATACTCTGTACTCAAAAAATATTCATTGATTCATCATTGAGAAGGTATTTGCTGGGTCCTGCCTTTTGCCAAGATTTAATGCCAGGCATTGGGGGCGATAGGGGTAAGCAAGATAGAATCAACCTAGGCTTTACCGGGGCTAAGTCCCATACCAACCATCCATAAATGACACTTCACTAGTAAGGGAGGGGTATCAGCACTTGCCTAAATGCAATGTTCTGCAACAGCAGGCGCCTAACAAAGATTTGCTGAATCCTAGTCCTTAGTGCAACTGCTCTGACCCAGAGATCATCCTCTCTTTGGCTTCCTCCTTGGGAAGTGAATACTGGGGATATAAAGTTGATGGATATTGGGAGATTTAGGATCCAGCCTAGACCACTGATCTCTGAGACTTCTCTGGGCCTTTGTGCCCATCTAAGAATAAGGTAAATGAACTCTAGAATCTAATAGGCTCTTTACAGATGTAATCAGACCCTAAGAATTTATTTTATTTATTTAGGAGTCATACTTTGCCTGATTTGCCATCATTTAGAGTAGCAAATGACTTTCTGGAATGATTTCCCCTCAAGATTTGATAAAGAGCTAAGGGCAATATCAGCAGACTTACCTGTTGAATATGTTTTCAAAAATGTGATTTTTGAGGATCTTGTGGTATGCCTCAGTGGTAGAGTGCTTACCCAGCATACTCGAGGCCCTGAGTTGGATCCTCAGCGCCACAGTAAAAAAAAAAAAAAAAAAAAAGATTTCTTTCTTTTTTTTCTTCCTTTTTTTTTTCTTTTTCCACATTCCTTGGGATTGAAACCTAGGGTGCTTTACCAATGAGCTGCATCGTCAGTACCACCATCACCCCTTTATTTTGGAGACTTTTTTTTTTTAATGTTTTAACTAGGCATGGTAGCACATGTCTGTGACTTAGAAGTGAAATTACCTACCCAAGGTCACACAGCTAATAAAGGAGAGCCAGGCCTGGCCCCTGCCTCCCAGTAACTAGGGAGACTGAGGCAGGAGATTGAAAGTATGAGGCCAGCCTCAGCAATTGAGTGAGACTCTCAGTGTCTTAACAAGATCATATCTCCAAATAAAAAGGTATGAGGGGGCTGGGGCTGTAGCTCAGTGGTAGAGTGCCTGCCTTGCACGTGTGAGGCACTGGGTTCAATCCTCAGCACCACATGAAAATAAATAAATAAAGATATTGTGTCTAAAAAAAAAAAAATGGTATGAGGATGCAGCTCAGTGGCAAAGCACCCCAGGTTCAATCCCCAGAACCAAAATATGTATATTTAACATTTATAGGTACTTTATTCAAATGCTAAGTTTTCATGATTTTTCTGAATTAATTTTCACTGTACCCCTATGAAATAGTATTATTTTCTTCATTTTTATGGAAGAGGAACTGGAGACTCAGTAAAGATAAGTGACTTGCCCTGAAGTGATGAATTTGGGAAAAAACCTGATTCTTCCATGAAAAATGGTCCTCTGTGAAGAATGTTTAAAAGAATTGGGAGCATTCATCCAGGAAAAATAAGACTGAAGACAATACAATTCATGTGTTCCAAACTCCATAGTACAGGGGAAGGAATTTCTGTGACCTGTGTAAGCCAACTTAAAATGTACCTCTTTGAACAAGGATGAGGACTTCCAGAGTCTTGCTTTTGCATTGTAGATGAGCACTGTGTTCCCAGGAAGACCTCTTAAGATTCTTTGGGGAAAGGGCTGCAGAGCAGAATGCACTGAGGCCCCAGTGACAGAACTGGGACAGGCCTCAGCTGGGTCTCAGGAAGAAGATTTCTGAGCTGCCTCTGGAGGAGGTGAGCTGCCCATCCCTAGGGCTGGGCAAGCAGGTGCTGGCTTTCTCATATCAAAGAGGCCACAGATAGGATTCTCAATCTGGAAAAAAGTTAAGAACACCTATCCTTTATTTTGCTTCTTCCATGTTTCAAGCATTGAAACAGCCACATTATTTATATTGTTTCCAACCCTCATTATACATATGACCCCATTTGGGCATTCACAGACTATAGCTTAGAAGTGAAATGACCTACCTAAGGACACAGCTAATAAAGGAGAGCCAGGTCTGGACCCTATCTCCCTCCGACTTTGAAGTTGTGCTCTCCCTCCAACGTCCTCCAATGTACACTTCTTCCAGAACGTGATTCTAAGATTAAGTCAGAGCCAGGATCAAAAGCATGCTTTGAAGAGGTATGTAAGTGGGTATTAGAAGACCAGCTCTTCTGGTATTACACAGAACTTCTGGGAGAAACTGTAGGAAGACAAAAGTGTGCAGAAGCCCTTTACCAACGCTACAGTAGGAAAAACACCCCACAACAGGCACAAAGCATGCACCCAGGTCAGATTTATACTCCATCCAAGGCCCTCTCCAGAAAATGTGGCCACCAGCCCACCTGTCCATACTATATACCAAGGCACCCCACACACACTCCCTGCAGCTGAGTTCCATGGCCCTCTCCACTCTGTCATTATCCCTGACACATTGGCACAGGCTACTGGGGAATGCTTGTCAGTACATCCAAATGGCAGCCATCCCTTCCTGAACCCCATCAAACCCGCCTGGGGATGCTACTGCAGACTGTGGACCTCACTTCCATTCACCTACTTCGAACTTGGGTCTCCTTTCCCTACCCTCTACTGCCCAACACAGCCCTCTAGTCAGCCTGGGTGGGTGTGTCTGTCTCCTCCTCTAACCAACTTCAAAACAATCTCAGCACATTAGAGCCAGGCATGATGACATACACCTGAAATCCCAGCTAGTCAACAGGCTGAGGCAGGAGAATTGAAAGTTCAAAGCTACCGTAGGCAACTTAGTGAGAACCTATTTCAAAATAAAAGGGATGACGATGTAGCTCAGTGTTTAAAGTGCTGTGTATAAGTATGTATTTTATATGTATAAAGCCTTGGATTCAATCACAGTACCATTAAAAAAAAAAAAAAAACTGCAGCAC